TGACCAGTGCTGTGTGACTGGTGTGCTGGAAGTCCCCGGGACTCAGTGTTATCTGTGACACCTTCAGTGACGGGTGGTGCTGAAGTCTTTGAGGAGACCTTCCGTCTAGATCCCAGTCCCCACGGCTGTCTCCTCAGGACGTCTTTCTGAAGAACAGGTCCTCTGTGAGCCCTGGGTTGGACAGGGACCCTCTATGGGCAGCTGTTATTCTTATTTCAAGGAAGGAGACACATTTGGGAGCAGATAGGAGCTGGGAGAGCATTTTTAAAGGATGGCACTGATATTGATTTTAGTAAATCATTTAATTTTATTTTGATTACAGAATTAGTCCACAGCCTGTCTAACAAACCTGGAAACCCTGAATCTCCTTAGCCAGTTATGATTTAATATGTGGCCACATTTCCTTTTTTATTATTGTGGCAGCAGCTTAGCATGATGGATGGCAGCGGTTTGGAGTGATTAACTTTGCCCTCATCCTCAGGTAGTTCTCTACTCGCTTTTCACTTAACATTCAACAGTGGACATTATTCACATTGTCTGTTGCCGATTCTGGATGGCCTCATTACCCCATACCATGGCTAGCCACCGCTTCTTCAGCTCCATCTAGTTTCCCCCTCCCCTGATGTGCTCTAGACACTCTGGCTTTCCTGGTGTCTCCCCAACACACCATACTCATTTCTACCCCAGGGCCTTTGTACCACCCGCACTATCTATAAAGCACTTCCCTGGTTCTGTATGTGGCCGGCTCCTTCTTACCATTCACAGCCAGTTCCATGTGTCTCCCTGTGGCCATCCCAAATGGATAATGACTCCCTCAGTCTCTCTTTCTCTCACCACCCGTTTAGTTTCTCCTTGCAGGGGGTGTGTGTGATAATTTTATCATCTGAGGTCATCCTATCCGTGTGTCTGTCTTGTTTATCTATTTGTCTCCTGCTCCTTGTCCACTCCCTCCATGGACTGTGTGCTCTGTGAGGATGTCCCTGTCTATTGTATCTGTCATTGATCTCCCTGTGGACAACATAGGTCTGTCACATAGTAGGAGCTCTATAAATAGGCACTGGAGAGACGGATGGCTGGATGTCTGGCTGGGTGGAGGGTGGCAGGGGGCTGAGGCTGGGTGAATGGGTGGATGATGAGTGTGTGGGGGAGGGGACACGTCATTGTTTACCTACCACAACCCAATTCCACACTCACAGTGCCTCCCCTTGATTTGTTTTTTGGTGGGGTGTACTGGAGATCACACCCAGGGACCCTCGACCACTGGGCCACATCCCCAGCCCTGTTCTGTGTTTTATTTAGAGACAGGGTCTCACCGAGTTGCTTAGGGTCTTAAACTGCTGAGGCTGGCTTTGAACTCCTGCCTCAGCCTCCCGAGCCTTGAGGAAGTGAACCGGGCAATGGGGAGGAAATAGGCCGGGCCTGCCTTTGGGGAAAGCTGACCCTGATCTGGAGACGACACCCCGGGGGGCCAGGTGGGGCCCTTGTTTGGGGTCCTCCCAGTGGGTTCCCGGAGGTGGAGAGGTGGCAAGGCTCTCTGCGGGCTCTGAGGTGTCCAGCCTCCTTGTGCCTGGACTCAGGCCACGGTGCCCCTCTTGTCCCCGTGCAGTGGGCCGGAAGCAGTTCATGCGTTTCGAGTGGGCGAACCACGCAGCCGCGGCCCTGGGCTGTGAGTTCGAGGAGCTGAACACGGCCACCTTCAAGCACCACCTGCGGCAGATCATCGAGCAAGTGACGTCCAGGCCCAGGCCACGGGGACTCGAGGAGGAGGAGGCCAGCCCAGGTACCGCGCTGCCACCTCTGTGGGTGGCCAGGGTGTCCTCTGGCCCACCACGGGGCATGCACAGCCTTCTTTCATTGGCTCATCAAGAAATATCGAAGCCCCCCTCTGTGTCCCTGTGCGGGGAGCAGGAGTGGCAGGCTCCCACCCGGGCAGTGCCCAGCTCTGCCCAGCAACCGTGGGAGCGGCCCGGGATGGGGCGGGGACACTGGGGGCAGCGCCAAGGGGCCATGCATTCCTCTGGAGGTCACAGGAGTTGAGCCCTCGCTGTGAAGGAGGACGTGGCCTTTCTCTGAGAACAGAGGCCAGGCTGGCACTGCTGGGCCTGGGGTAGAGGAGAGGGCCTGGGGTAGAGGTGGCGCTCAGGGGACCTGCTCCCTGCGGCCTGGGAACTGGGGTTTTACTCTCAGCCACCAGCAGCTCCGAGCGGCGGGCAGGGCCCGTGTGCCGACTCCCTCTGTATAAAGCTCAGCCCCGGGAGGTTAGGGGTGTGTGGGACAAGGGAGCTTGTGACAGTCACGGGGCGAGAGGGGACACAGCACAGAGGCTGAGGCCAGTTTACTAGCTGGGGTGGCAGCAGGAACCCTAGGGGAAAGGGAGGGACCGAGGACGCCTTCCGCGATGGCCAGGCGGGCCGGTGCTTTTCCCTGGTGCGGGGAGAAGCGGAGGCCAGTGCTCTGCAGCTCTGCCCACCAGACGCCCTCCTGCAGACCGGGAGCGAAGGCGTCCTCGGGGCTCTCGGTCCAGGGGCCCCTGAGGACCCTCTAGGGGCAGCTGTCCTCGGGACAGTGGCAGTGTCTGAGCTGTGGCTTCCTCAGAAGTTCCCTGGATCCTTGCACAGATGCACAGCCCATAAAGGCACCTGGATGTGCAACACACACACACACACACACACACACACACACACACGCTGCTTGGCCAGGTGGACGCGGAGCAGGTGGGGGGAGGGGGGCTGCGGCTTTGGAGAGATGCTGGGAGGCTGTGGGTTGCCTAGCAACCGCCCAGGGAGAGGTGGAGGGGAGGAGGGCGGGCAGCGCTGGGGGCTGCTGGATGAGCAGAGTGGCGCCCGGCACCCACAAATGCAGATGTGGAAGCCGTGGCTTGAATTCTGCGGTGGGTGCGCGCACTCCAGGGTCAGGGCATGTTGTCCCCACGCCCAGCTCTGCCCTCTTCCCCACTCTGACCCAGGCGGCCGTTTTAACTGCGCGCCCAGGTGCGTGGGTTGAAGGGCCATGGAGCGCTCCCTTCCTCCTGAGGGTCGCAGGAGGAGTCTTCCCCCTCTCCACCCATGTTCCTCCACACCTAGCCCCGAGCCGGGCTGTGCCTGAGCCCACTGCGGGCCTCACAGACGTGGCTCTCTGTGGGTGCTCAAGGTGTCTCCAGAAAGTGATTCTCAGCAGCAGGGGGAAGGACCCGTGCACCAAGACATCTTTGTTTCTCAGAATGTAACATTAGGAGAAAAAAGCCCAGGAGTGAAATGACTAAGTCCCCCAGTATATAACAGGTGACAGTTACTGAAATAAAAATTGCCCAATTTCCCTCCAGAAAATAGCAGACATTCATCACGTTTCTACTACATGCAAGGTACGGAGGATTTAAAGGCCAAAAAAACTCAAGAGACAGTCCCTGACGTCAGGGCACTACCTTTGCTGGGGCACAAGGGGGTCCTCTCATGGGAGAGACACAGGTTTAAAATCACCACACGAGTAAAGACTATGCCATAGTTTGTGTAGTAAAAGCAGGACAGAGCTGGTGGCAGTCAAGGAAGGCTTCCTTGAGGAGGTGACTGGGTTAGTCAGTTTTCTGTTACTGTAGCAAAATACCTGAGCTAATGGAAGTAAAAAGAGGAAAGGTTTATTTTGGCTTACAGTTCTGAAGGGCTTGATTTGTGGTCCTTTGGTCTCATTGCGTTTGGGCCTGTGATGGGGCAGCAGGTCCACTATCCCTTTCAAGGGTATGTCCCTTAGTAGGGTGTGGCAGCCCTTGCCTCCATCTCAGCAACTTGGGAGGTTGAGACAGAAGGATCATAAATTTGAGGCCAGCCTGGGCAACTTAGGGAGGTCCTATCTGAAGATAAAAATCAGGAAGGACTGGGGATGTGGCTCAGTGGTAGAGTAACCAAAGTGCAGCAGTAAACAAAACAAAATGAAATAAAAGTAAGGCCCCCAAGTGCAGGGCCTAGTGCCCTGGAGCCTCCCAGTAGGCCACGCCCTGAGAGCCCCGCCCCAAAGGCCACGCCCAAAGGCCCCCACCCACCCAAAGGCCCCGCCTTCCCCCACGGGCACCATGGCTGGGACCCCGCCCCCTCCCACAGCCACCATGGCTGGGAACCCACCTGTCACAGGTGGCCCTGGGGCGGTTCTGGTCCCATCCCCAGCAGTGCCGTCCACGTGGAGCACTGGGGTCACCTGGGGCAGCTTGGAGAGCAGGAGGGCAGGCGGGCGAGACCCTGGAGTGCTCATAAATCACCTGGACCTTGTCCCGGGAGCTGGCGCTGTTTCAGCAGTGGCGCTGGGGAGGGGTATTTTCCAAGTCAAGCGACCCCTGCTGTCCTGTGGCAATGTCCTCGGCCCTGGAAGGTGGTGACAGTGGCCTGCCGCCCCGTCCTCTTTCCGACTCCAGGGCTCAAGATGACGGGCGTGGAGTGCGTGGAGGGCATGGCCGGCGGCCTGTACCAGGAGCTGTTTGCTGCTGTCGTCTCGCTCATCAACAGGTACGTGGCCTTTGCTGCGGCACCGGGAGCTCCTGCAGAGGCAGGTTCGCCGAGGGGCATTTCTGAGCTGGCCGGAGGGTTGCTAGGGTCGGCAGTGCTGGGTTCCGATTCCACCGAGGCCCCCTGCAGGCTGTGTGACTTTGGCCAGTCCCCTTCCCTCTCTGACTTCCCTTTTCACATCTGTAAAATAGGCGTATTCCCCAGGGGCATCAGAGGATTAAGGGAAACCAACAAGGAATTTTAGTTGTTGGCTGTAAAAATTCCAATAAGAAAAGCACATTGGCTGGGGGCGGTGGCGCCCACCTGTCATCCCAGCGGCTCGGGAGGCTGAGGCAGGAGGATCAAGAGTTCAGAGCCAGCCTCAGCCACAGCGAGGCCCTAAGCAGCTCAGTGAGACCCTGTCTCTAAATAAAACACAGAACACGGCTGGGGTGGGGCTCAGGGGTCAAGGGCCTCAAGTTCAATCCCTGGAATCCCCCCCACCACAAAAGAAAACAAAAAGCCTGTTGGCGGCAGTGGACATGGACAGTGCCCCAGCCTGTCCTGGGATCCCTGGGCCTGTCCAGCAGGGCTGAGGGAGAGCAGGCGAGGGGAGGAGGCCCAGAGAGCCTCGGGAATCCTGGTGCAGGGACAAGGCTGCATGTGGCAACAGAGTTACGGGGACCTCCAGGTTGTCACAGCCACGGTACCAACTTCCCCAGCCGCTGAGGCAGTCACTGCCATCAGGACCCCAGGCTCGAGTGGCTGGAGGTACTTAGAGGATGGGAGAGGAAATGACCGCGGGCAGGGAAAGGCCCCAGCCAGCCAGGGCGCGGCTTGGCCTGGTTCTGGAGCTCACATCTGTGAGGGGGGTGTCCTGAGCCTGCCCGCGCCTGGGAGGACCGTCCTCGTCTCCACCCACATCCATGGTGGCTGCTCTGCTGGCTGGCCCCGCCCTGCAGGTGGAAAACCTCCGCAGGGAGAAGGGAGAGCTGAGGCTCAGGTCCCCCAAGCCCACCCTGCTAATGGTGATAATGGCAAATGGCCCCCGCCGAGCTCGGCACCCTGCAAAGGCCAGCTCCCAACCGTGGACGGGTGATCACAGTCCTCCCTGCGGCCCTCTCCTCATGAACCCTGTCACAGAGGAGCAGCTGAGGCTCAGAGAGGTTGGGCACCTGTCCCAGGACACACAGCCTATCCTTGCAGAGCGAGGGTGGACACCCGCGTGGTGGCTCCCGTCTCTTCCTCCTGCATTTTGATGTGAGCAAACCCCGCTCTGTCCGTCCTGGCAGACACACCAGGAGGTCCAAGGGGACAGCTTGAAAGAACCCTCACTAATGCCCTCACGGCGTGAGTTCTTCTGTTTCCGTGTGACCCTGGGGAAAGAGAGGGTCTTGATGTTGTCACCCATTTTCTGGGTGGCCTCCAGCCAGTTGATTCTGCACCCCGGGCTGGTGGAGAAGTAAGTCACAGTCCCTGGAAACTCACTGTCCCGGTGCATCACCAGGGTTTTTTTTGTTTTGTTTTGTTTTTAATTTTGGCACCAGGGACTGAACCCACAGGAGCCTGACCACTGAGCCACCTCCCAGCCCATTTTATTTTTTTATTTAGAAATAGGTCTTGCTAAGTTGCTTAAGGTCTCACGGAGTTGCCGAGGCTGGCCTTGAACTTGCCATATGGGAAATGCTTTCTATCCTCTCCTTTCATCCTTGTGCTCAACCTCCCTCCTCCCACCACTGTTTAATGGTTGAAGAAACCCATGCTCAGAGAGGTTAAGCCACTCCCCAAGGTCACACAGCCTAGAAGTGGTGAGCTTGGTTTTGAAACCAGGTCTGCTGGATCTCCAAACCTGCCGAGCCTGCTGCTGCAGCCTCAGTTTCTCAGTCTCTGCGATGGGGCAGCAGGAAGCTTGGACCAGCAGGTTCTCAGAATCAGTGTTATCTCAGGGCCTCTCTCTCCACTCTCTAGATCCTTCTCCTCCCACCACCTCTCCATGGCGTCCATCATGGTGGTGGACTCCCCGGGCTTTCAGAACCCCCGGCATCAGGGCAAGGACCGGGCGGCCACCTTTGAGGAGCTGTGTCATAATTACGCCCAGGAGCGTCTGCAGCTGCTCTTCCACCAGCGCACCTTCGAGTCCACACTGGAGCGACTCCGAGAGGTGGGACTCGGCAGGGGAGGGGGGGCGGCCCCTGCAGCACCTGCAGCCCTGTCTGTCTGTGGGGCCCGGTCAGCACCACAGCCCTTCCTCCCGGCCTGGCCTCGGGGCCTCCGCTGCTCCCTGTCCTCCACAGCCTGGTCTCCACCCGGAGCCTCCACCCTCCAGCCCCGGCACACCAGCCCCCCCCTTCACGTGCTGGCCCTGGCGCACCCCCCACGGGCCCTATGCACCACTATGAGCCACTAGGTGACGATTCCCAGCCCAGTGGACGATACCCGTGCCCGTGGGCCAGCAGCTCCCCTCCTGGGTGCCGGTCCGTGTTAGGCTTTCCATGTGTGGTAACAATGAGATTTTTCCCACACTGCTTCACTTGTTTCTCATTATCAAAATCATGCATGTGCCTTATTTTAAAGAACCCTAGGAAATGCATAGATCCATAAAGAAACAAGAAATACAATTTCCTTTAGCTTCTCCACCCAGAGGTGACCCTTTACCGTGGGCTGTCGTTGAGACTCATCAGAGTCTAAATTTTTTATACAGTTTTCTCTGCAAATTTCTGACCCTCCTGTGTGTGTGTGATCTTGCTGTCCACTGTCTTTGCAACGGCATTGCATTCTATTTCCTCACCCCATTTACAGACTTTTAGTAAATGTGCATTTCAGTGGTCACGTCTGTTTCTTTATTAACATTCGTTTTGACACCTGGGTGATTTCCAGGTGAGGATACAAACAACACTGTGTTGGACATTTGTGCCCAGCCCTGTCTGAGTGTCTAGTTACTGCTTTGGGGTTTTTTGTTTGTTTGTTTGTTTTATTTTTTTTGGTACGAGGGATTGAGCTCGGGGGCCCTTGACCACTGAGCCCCGTCCCTAGCCCTGTTCTGCATTTTATTTAGAGACAGGGTCTCACTGAGCTGCTCAGGGCCTCCCTGTGGCTGAGTCTGGCTTTGGACTCTTGATCCTCCTGCCTCAGCCTCCCGAGCCGCTGGATCCTGCACCACTGCACCCAACCATACAGTTTTTTAAAATAATTGTTTATATAAGAAGCTGAAGCAACGTCCTCACTTCTTTTTCTGAGAGCTTTCTGCCCCTAACTTCTGCCTCCTGTGGCCTGTAGGAAGGTGTTCCTGTGAAGTTCGACCTCCCGGAGTCTTCCCCAGCGACAACGGTGGCCGTTGTGGATCAGAAGCCCTCCCAGGTAACAAGGGACCCCGCCACCAAGGCGGTCAGAGGTGACCAGCAGGTTGGAGCCTTCAGGCTGCTGGTCCTCCACACCGCCTGCACCTGGCACCCCCCCGCCCCGGGGTGCTGGGACACTGAGGCCTGGGAGCCGCCCCAGCGTCTGTGCTGATGGCCCGGGTGTGGTCCAGGTGACAGAGATGGAAAGGTGCTGCGGCCGGGGACCCTGCTCAGCTGTGTGTCTGACCCTGGCCTGGAGGGGCTCAGAGGGGGAGCTCAGAGTCCCTCAGCTCTCTGTTCAGACAGAGGAGCTGGCCAGGCAGAGACTGGGCCCCGGGGAATGAAGAGTGGGAGGAGCACCCTTAGGACACACGGGGTGCTCCACCTGCCTCCTCCCATCCAAACCCGCGGTGCTCCCTGATCTGCGTTGGCCCGCCCCGTCCTGGGCGCAGACCCTTTGATTGACGTCTTTCTCCTTTACCTTTGGATGGGACCCGGCTCAGGAACCCTCCTGCCTTGGCCTGACCTTGGTGACCTTGGGCACACCATGCACCTCTCTGAGCCTCTGTTTTCTCATCTGCGTGTCACTGAGATATGGCACTGGAAGCACCAGGCACGGGGGACGTGTTGGGGACGTCCTGCCCGTGGCCCCTCTCCTGCCAGGGACACTGCAGGCTGCCCTTTTCCCCATGCCTGGTCCCCCAGGTCCAGGGTGGTTTCCAAGCTGTCCTCGTATACCCAGGCCATGGCCATCATGCTGCGCTGCTCAGTCCCCTCCCCACCCAGCTGCCTCACCTCGCCCTCTCCTTAGAGGGTCGGGCCCAGGAGATGACTCAACAGAGCGGGAAAGGAAGGGCAGTGTGTCCCCTGGGGCCACAGGGCTGTGACTTAGAGTGGCTGCCTTCTGAGGATGGGCCAGCTGTCCATTTCAACCCCAAAGAAGGTGGCCAAAGGCTGGTGGCGCACACGTCATCCCAGCAGCTCTGGAGGCCGTGTCAGGAGGATCCCAAATTCAAAACCAGCCTCGGCAACCTCGAGAGGCCCTGAGCAAATCAGCGAGACCCTGTCTCTAAATAAAATATAGAAAGGGCCGGGGCCGGGGCTCAGTGGTTAAGTACCCTGGGCTCGATCCAGGCACCGTCCTCCCCGCCAAAAGAAGAGGAAGGGGCCCAGGTGAAGGCCCGGGATCCCGGGGTCCAGCTGTAGCCGTCCCTGGGACTCCCCGTGTGGTCCTGGGGAGTGGCTCTGAGGGCTGTGGGCCAGGGTTTCCCAGCCAGGGGGCGCCCCGTCTTGCTGGGCCTTAGCCCTGACAGCTTTGCATCCTGGGAAGCCTCTGGGTCCTGGGCCCTCGGGGTGGCTGGCCACTGTCCGCAGCCCACACCGTTTGTGGTCACGGCCTCTCCTGTGGGCCTCGGCTAAGCCCATGAACCCCCCGGACCTCTGTTCCCCCTCAGCAAAATGGCAGAGTGGCCTGTGGCTGAAGCTGGGGCCAAGTTCTGTGTCTGCGCTTTTGAATCAAGTTCACCTTCTCCTCGGAGATGTTCCCTGAGGGCGTGTGTGTGTGTGTGTGTGTGTGTGTGTGTGTGTGTGTGTGTGTGTGTTTAATTTATTCCCAAAACTTTAGTTTGGAAAAATACAAAGAGGAAGTGGCGTGGGTGGGATCGATCCTTTCCTGCTTGGCTGTGTACAAATAGTCTAGCTGCCTCCCTCCGTCTAGAAAGACGCTGTTTACAGAACACTCACCCTGGTAGTGCCTCACTGCAGCTCTCTGAGGAGGATATTTCTGGTCTCCATTTTTCACAGGAGAAAATGAGGCCCAGAGAGGTACAGAAAGTTGCCCAAAGGTGCACAGGAGGGAAAGGCAGATTCCGACCCTTTGCAGTGGAGAGGTGTTACCATTTTGTGGCTCCAACACTGAAAGTCTGGGGACCCGTGGGAGCACAGGACAAAACAGGCTGTCCCTCAGTGTCCCCTGGGTCTCCCATCAGGTCCACTTACCAGCTGGAGGAGGTGCCGAGGATGCCAGGGGCCTTCTCTGGGTCCTGGATGAGGAGGTCCGGGTCGAGGGCTCCAGTGACAGCGTGGTGCTCGAGCGTCTGCGGGTGGCCTTTGAGAAGGGAGCTGGAGGTGAGGGTAAGGAGCTGGCCGGGCAGGGTGCAGCACGGGCGTTGGAATCCGTCAGCCAGGAGAAGCCCCGCAGGGTGGGGCACTGCCGTGCGGAAGTGCAGACACACGTGCCAGGATGAGCTGTTGTGCCCCTGGTGCTCGTCCACTGGTGCATGTGACAAGCTCATCAGCAGCTGCCCTGTGCTGGGCACTGTTGCACACGGCAGTGAACCAGTCTGACGTGGCCTGTCATCCCAGGGGCTCAGAGGCTGAGGCAGGAGGATCGAGAGTTCAAAGCCAGCCTCAGCAAAAGCGAGGCCCTAAGCAACTCAGTGAGGCCCTGTCTCTAAGTAATATATAAAAAGAGCCAGGGAGGTGGCTCAGGGGATAAGCACCCTGGGTTCAACCCCTGGGACACAAGGCAGGGAAGGGTGGAGATGTCACCTGGGTCACCTGGGCTCGGGCTGCAGAGGCTCCTGTGGACCCTGCACAGACCTTGGTTTTGACCCTAGAGCCGTGAGAGGCCCCGGGGTTTCTGGGCTGGGGGAGGTGTGGAGGGTCACGTCCGCAGGTCCAGGCAGGCTGCAGGGGAAGGCCGCCGACCTGGGGGTGGGTGGAACTGGGGGCACCGGCAGGTCCAGCCCACAGCGTTTGGTGGTGGGTTGGATCGGAGGGAAGTGAGAGGGCGATGGAGGCACCAGTGGGACCCTGGGACTGGACAGCTGTCAGTCCCAAGTTCAAGTTCAGCTGTTCCTGCTTCCTCCATGTGATCCTGAGCAAAGCTCCCGGCGTGAGTGGATATGCTGATAAAACAGGGGGAGCCCCAGCGCCTCTCTCCCCAGAATCTCCGCCATCGTGACGGAGAGCCACACCACAGGGGCAGCACAGGCAGGGATGGGGACAGGAATGTTGGCATCACTCACGGTCCTCCCTGGAGGTGGTGCAGAGGGCTCGGCTGTGCCTCTGGTGTCATCCGCCTGCCTTTGGGGACAGATCGTCTTGTCTCCAAGACGAGGGAGCAGGTCTCTAGAGAGGAGCGGCTGGCCCGCGGTCACCCAGAAGAGGAGGTCGGGAGGCACACTGGAAGCCAGGCGTGTCTGGTGGAAGCTCTTGGGACCCGAAGCACCAGGGCAGACGCATTCAGAGGCCTTCCTGGTCCCAGCCGGCGGTGGCCACTGGGACGTGGGCTCCTCCGCTTGCGGCACCTGCTGATGTGGAAGGCGCGTTCCTCGCTGGGAGAGCCCCTCCTCCCCGGGGCTGGTCCTGTGGCAGGCGTGCGGTGTGACCCCCAAACTCTGCTGGGAGGGGCCGGAGGACCAGGGTCAGCAGAGAAGGTGCCCGAGGACGAGCCTCAGGACATCCCGGCGTCAAGAGGTCCAGGCCAGCACCAGCCCAGGGGCAGCGGCACTGAGGGAGCGAGGCAGGGAGGCAGGAGAGGAGCCAGGGGAGTGTGACACACTGGATGTCACAGGAGGGAGGGACTTGCTGTGGTGAATGCAGGTGTCAGGCCACGTGAGGCGCAGGCTGAGCGAATGTCCAACAGCTGGGAAAAGCCCTGGGAGCCCCTGACCTGGTGCCAGGAGAAGTCCCCGTCCCATGTGACCATCTTATAATGACCAGCCTGCAGTGACTGTCCCCTGGTGACCGGCTTAAGATGACCAGCCTGTGGTGACCAGCTGAGGTGACCAGCCTGCGGTGACTGGTGGAGGCCTCTGTGTGGGACAGGCATGGCAGAGTCCTGTGCCCGTCTAAGGAGGACATTTTCTAGGTAGCCGCCGCCGCCGCAGCTGACAGTTCCAACCTCACGGTCGCTCGGGGGCCCAGACCCAGACTGCTCCCAGAGTGCCCGGCTCTGCCAAAGACGGGCTCAGTCGCTTCTGCCACGTCGGGGGCATAGTGCCGGGGGCCCAGGAAGGTCACGCCGTGGTTTTGAACTGTCCCTGCAGCGGTCCTGCCACTTGCTGTGGCTGTGACAGGGACCGACTCCCCTCTCGGCAGGTCTGGGCTCTGCGGAGCATCTGTCCCCTGCCAGCCGGGGCAGGAGGGCAAAGGGGTGGAGCAGCTTCTCTCTGTAGAGCCCTAGTGTGGGCCCCAGGTCACGGGCCTTGCTGCACATCACCTGTGTCCCAGGCCCAGCCAGAGGCGGTGGTTCCCTGCACCCATAGGTGGCCTCCCCCAGGGCCAGGCAGACCGCCCCGCCCCCCGCAGTGTGGAGTTGTCCCGTCTCCACGTTGGGTGTGCCCAGGGAGACAGGTTCAGAACCACCTGTGGCTTGGCCCCTCTCATGCAGTAATGATCGCTAGGGCCTCGGTTTTTCTCCAAGGCCAGGCCCATCAGTGCCTCTGACCCTGTCTCTGGCCACCCACTGTGTGCCTGTTGTGAGGCCGAGGCTCGTTTATTCAGCCGATGACATTCAAGACCATCTTAGGTGACACTCAGATAGATATTTAAAAAATACACCATGACTCTTTATTTCCCTGGATATTAGAAAATCAATCTGACCTGCACATCAAACCTGCCGCAGAACGTGTCTTTGTAAAATGTAGAGACTTATAAAGACGGGAGTTGATTTAGAGAAAGCATTCAGTCACTCACAGCCTAGGTGACAGGGGGTACACGTGGCAACACTTTTGAAGATGGTGTGTGTCATGATGTTTGAGTGGACATAGGATCCCGGGTTGAAGAAGGCAGAGAGAGCTGGGCACGGTGGCCCACGCCTGTCATCCCAGCAGCTCGGGAGGCTGAGGCAGGAGGATCGCGAGTTCAAAGCCAGCCTCAGCAAAAGGGACGTGCTAAGCAGCTCAGTGGGACCCTGTCTCTAAAGAAAATACAGAATACAGCTGGGGATGGGGCTCGGTGGTCAGGTGCACCTGAGTTCAATCCTCAGTCCCAAAAAATAAAATTAAATTAAAAAAAAAAACTAAAAAAGCAGAGGAGAAAAATCCACATCGCAAATAAGGTGCATCAATTCCCCCATGCAGAAGAAGCGAGGTGCCCCGAACCCTCAGCTCTCTGGAAGCCTGCTAACAGGGAAAAAGGGTGTTCTTGGGGACGCCAGCTGATTGCAAAGTGTCCCCACGGGACCCCAACATTGAGGCCGCCATGTCTGTGTGCAGGGACCTCCGCCCTGAGGACCTGTGAGCAGCCCCTTCAGTGCGAGATCGCCCACCAGCTGGGGCAGGACCCCGTGCGCTACGACCTCACGGGCTGGCTCCACAAGGCCAAGCCCAACCTCTCGGCCCTGGACGCCCCCCAGGTCCTTCAGCACTCAAAGAGGTGAGCCACCCGGGCTGGGGACGGGCGGGGGCACTGGGGGCGCTGGGAAGCCTTCCCCAGTGGGACAGCAAAGCCACGCCAGCCCCGCGAGCGAGGACCAGTCTCCCAGAGTGGAGCGGTGGGCCGTGTCCCCAGGGCCAGAGCGACTCCAGCAGAGGAGAGCGGAGGCCTCCTGGGGACGTGGAGCAGAAGCTAACAGGCGGTGACTTCTTAGTTTGGCTCTTTGCCTTTGGTTAAGTGTCTGGGCGATGATGTGACTGGAACAGCTTTTATGGACATCCCAGAACTCGGGGGTCATAAAACCAAAATGACACGTTTTGTAGCATTAAAATGAGGAAGAGCTCCTTGTCCCCTGGCTGCTCGTCCCAGACCGGCTGGCACAGCGCCCGGGTGATCCTGCTGTCATTGTGGAGTTAATGGAAAGTGCTTGTGCTGTGTGTGTGCCCTGAACACCTCCCAAGTTCAGTGTCGCAGTCCTGCAGGGGCCGAGCTTCAGACGAGGAAGGAAGGAAGGGCTGGGGCCTCGGGTGGACGTGGCCGAGAGGAGGGAACCTGCCCTGACTGCCCACTGGGCACCCGGCATGGGCACCTGTACTTAGTAAACCCCTCATCCATCGAATGCGCCGTATCCTTAGCCCATTTTACAGATGAGCTCACTGAGCCCCAAGTGGTGAGGTGACCTGCACTTGATCCCATGGCGAGGATAAATGGCCACACGAGGACTCAGCGGTCCTTAGAGAACTCCTTAGGATGTCATGGTCAGAGGAAATCGGAAACCCCAGGTCCAGCAGGACTCACAGGCCTCCAGGTCCTGAAGACAGACCAAGGCAGGGGATGGGGCAACAGTAAGGTCAGCAGGTCCACTGAGGACTGGACAGAGAGCCAGGGGACCTGGTCAAGTCCCTTCCTGCCCCTGGTCACCCCTCCTTTCTCTTCCCTGGGCTGGTTTGGTTTCCTCTGCCATAAAATAGCGCTGGACCCACCCGGTCAGGAGACTTGGCAGCTGAGGTAGAGCTTCAGAGGCAGGTGAATGTTCTGCTTCTGTCTTTTGAGCTGCATGACGGGGCGGCTTGGTCAGCTGGGAGATGGGACCGAGGGTAGCCATCCTGACGGTGAGGTCAGGCCGTGGCTGAGCGGATGGCTCGGGGAGAGGGGGCACCTCTGCCCGTCTCGGTGGGCTCTGCCTCTCCTTCCTGCGCTACAATCCCGAGGCTCCATCGGAGTGAGCCCTGAGCTGGGGAGGGCAGACCTGATGGACAGATGACCTTCCCCGTGGCGCCGGGGGCATGGGAAGGAGGAAGGGCACGTGGATGTCTCGGTGACAGAACGCGCACATTGAGAGGGACCCTCTTAGAGGGCCTTGAACACGTCCTGGTGACCCTTCTGTGCACTGGTGATGTGGGGGGGTGGTTGTGGGGCAGGCCGCTCACAAAACACACCACGTCCCAGTTCTGTCCAAAGTGAAGAGTCTTTATTTAGCTGGCCGGCCACTGCTCCCCACGGGACCCATGACTGTCTCTGCAAGGGACAGCCCTGAGCCTGAGCATTTTAGAACTTTTAAAAAATTTTTTAGTTGTAGAGGGACACGATACCTTTATTTTCTTTGTTTATTTTTTATATGGTGCCAAGGAGCGAACCCAGTGCCTCATGCGTGCGAGGCAAGCACTCTACCACAGCCCCAGTCCGCATTTTAGGATATTTAAAGGCAAAAACCACATCTGGGTTGATGTCGCCGCAAGCAGGCAGGAGCAGAAGCTGGACTGGGCAGTCAGCGAGACAGTGCAATGGGGACGTTGGTATTTCCCAGGGGACTCTCCAGGTTGGCATAGCAACAAGCAAGCAGAAGGGAAGGGGGTCAAAATGACCCTAGTGGAGGACACGCTAAACATGGTTACTGACGTCTAGGCAGTCAGTCTCTGACAAGGTACATCACCCAAAAAAAATGGAAACCAAAGAGAACACTTTTACATTGCATCAGAATTGCCATCTTATGCTGCCAAGTCTGCTCTGCCAGGTCCCCGTTGATGGGTCCGGAGGCGGCTTTCCCTGGAGAAGCGTTTCTTACGTGATGTGGAGCCTCGGGGTAAAATGGTCATTGCCCAGTAGCCTGGCCCACAGCAGAGGGCAGAGGGGCTTTGTGTTTCAGAGTGTGACTGCGGCCACGTGCCCTGGACCCCCGGGACCACTGTTCAACATTCAGATCCCAGCCCCCTGCAGTCTCCAGGGGAGGTCCCCAGCTGCTGTGTAGCTGGAGAGCTTTCTAGAAGGCCCTTACACATACTCAAGTTTCAGGACCATTGGTTTGATAAAAGTCTTCGATAGCTGGGGAGTTGAGGTCCCCTGGAAACAGGTGACGTGGCCAAGGCCACGTGACAAAACCCAGAGGTTCATTTCAGTCCCGAGGTCAGGGCTCCTGTCCCTCAGCCCGCGGTGGCCCTCGCGCCTGAGCCCACCTCTCCCCTGCAGGCTGCTGGCCCTGGGGCCCCCCTCCACGTCCTGGTCAGACTTCCCCCCGAGTGTGGGCATCTTTGTGCATCTGCCAGCATTTCCCCTGCGCCTGTCACCTTTGGCGTCCTGGGCAACACTCAGGCCCTAAACGGTTAGCACGATCTGAGTGGACGCGGGTCTTCAGGGCTGAGAGTGGGAGCCGGATTTTTGGGGAGCACTGGGGGGGTGCTGAATGCTTCCATCGGAGGAGGGTGGGGCACCAGCCCTCCTCTGGCTGCCAGTCCCCTCCTAAGGGACAGCAGGGTCTGTCTAGCTCTGTTTGTCCTTTAATGCCCAAACTGGAGGGCAGGTCAGTTCAGGATGATCCGAGCGACACTTAAAGGCAGCGTCATGGCCGTGGCTCTCGGGTGGCGTCGTGGCGGGGTTGCAGGGGAAGGGTCAGCTGCCTCTCAGGCGCGAGGCCGGGCACGCCACTGACCTTCTCTAGTAGCTCCAGAAACTGCCCGCTCAGCAGTGTACCCTCATTCATGCATGAAGCATAGAGTAAGCACCTGCTGTGTACTAGACCTGTTCTGGGGATGACGGAGATGGCGTGCCCTCTAGGACAGAGGTGGCTTGGTGGCTTGCTGAGGTGTACAGGTGGCAGAGGACCTGCAGGAGGACTGCTCACAGGGAGGGAGGAGGGCGTGTTTGCTGGTGGCAGGGAGGCAAAGGCTCGGTGGCGAAGGGACCGTGCAGGTGCAAGGTCAGCCCTTCCTTTTGTCCCCACCTGGGACAGGCTTCCCCGAGAGCCCCCTGAAGCCCGCTGTGTCATCCTTCTGCCCACCAGGGAGGAGCTGCAGAGCCTGTTCCAGGCGCGGGCCAAGCTGCCCCCTGTGTGCCGGGCAGTGGCGGGCCTGGAGGGCACCTCGGAGCAGGCGTCGCTGCGGAGCCGCGTGGTGAGGAGGACGTTCGCTAGCAGCCTGGGCGCCGTGCGGAGGAGAGCCCCGTGCTCCCACGTCAAGCTGCAGATGGTGAGTGGCCTCCAGGGACCCGGGTCCCCACCTTCTGTGGGAGGTGACATCTTCTGACAGCATCCCCCACCTCCCCACCAAGCCTGGGGGGCAGCAGCACCCTGTGCCCTGCAGGGAGGAAAGGGAGGCTCTACCACAAAGAGACCTGGCCACGGCCACTCACCTGGGAGGGGCCAGATCACGGCCTGGAGGCTTGGCACAGAGGGAGGCCTGGGAGAGTGTCCAGATCCTCGAATTCCCCCCCGGAAGGTGACCCATCAAGCCAGCTCCACCTGCCCTTCCTGCCAGGAGGCTGTGGGGACGCCAGCTCTGGGTGACCACATTTACCTGGGCCACCGTGTCAACCCATGAACCCACCAGAAGATTTGACTGGGCAGCAGTGTGGCTGAGCCAGTGCAGCTCTTCTGCTGCTGTGATCCCTGGGGCCACTCGCTGGCCCTGTCTGCCTCCGTTTCCCCCACGGATCTCAATGGTGGCTGCTATGAAGCCCTCTTATGTCTCCTAAGTACCAGTTGGGATGGTGGTATGGGACCCGGGGCCCCCAAAGATGCCCAGGCTGCTGACTGTATGCTGGGGACATGTCGGGACCTCCTGTCCACCTCCCCCGAGACCAGGCGTCCCTGACCCCTCCTGTGGGCTTGTCCTAGGACGCTCTGGTCAACCTGGTGAAGCGGTCCCGGCTGCACTTCATCCACTGCCTGACGCCGACCCCGACGGTGGAGAGCAGGGGCGGGCAGGGCTCTCCCACACCACCGCAGCCCGGTGGGGACCAGCCCCTGTCCCTGGACATCCCGGCACTGAGGGTGCAGCTGGCGGGATCACACATCCTGGAGGCCCTGCGTCTGCACAGAACAGGTGAGCGGAGCCTCGTCCTGGTCCCCGTGGCTCCCCTGTCGGGGACAGCGAGGGCCCTTCCAGGCTGAGTAGATTTGGTGGGAGAGATCCGCACAACCCCAGGGGACATCTGGGGTGGGACGAGGCGTGGGTCACACGCGGTGCCTGCAGGAGAGAGCTGGGTGTTCTCCCTGGGGAGACCAGGGGCCTCCTGATGGGGGCCCCAACACCCAGAGCGGCTCAGCGTCCTGGAGGCGGGGACCGGAGCATCAGGGAGGAAATGAGCACGTTGGAGGTGGGGGGGAAAGGGCGGTGCTTCAGGAGTGGGGTTCACAGTGGACGGGCCACGGGAGGAGGCTGGCAGTCGGCTTTCCCTGGTCCCGCTGGGGAGAGGATGGGGGTCCCGGGCGAGGCAGGGGTTCAGTCAAAGGGAGTCCTCAGTTGGCCGTTTAGCAAGCACGCGCCGTCGTGGTTCCACCCTGGCTGATCCTGTGAGCTGAGCTTGGTCTCTAACTTTCCTCTTCTCCTGGGCCACTCAGTCCCCAGCCTCCATGTGGGTCCCCCCCCTTCCCCATGACAGGTGGACATGGGCTGGGTGTGGCCATTTCCACTGCAGAGGGTGGGTTCCTGGGGCTGGCAGGGGTCTCAGGTGGGCCCCGTTTGTTGACCCACACTGTGGTCACTAACAGCAGCTGGGAGTCCGCCACCACATCCCCACCCCCGCATCCTTCGGGGAAGCCTGGGCAGGGGAGCTGGGAACAGCTGGAAGCCGGGGAACCTCTCCCTCCCCTGAGCGCGCCAAGCGCCATTGCCATTGACTTTCCCTCCCACCGTGTAGCTGGAGGCGGAGGGAGGCAGATGATGTCACAGGGCAAGAACCAGACCGTCATAGCCGGCCGCTCGGCCCACAGCTTTCTGCCCACGACTGGCAGGAAGCACCGGCCTCTGCGAGTGCCCTGGGTCGTCCTAGGACCATTAGACTCTGTGCGTGTGCACCTAGGCCAGTGTCCCTTCCCTAGGCCTTGCTCCTGCTGTCACCGTGGGTCTGTCCCCTCCATCAGCACAGCCCAACCCAGACGGGGTGAGCTTTCCAACCAAGTGAAGGGCAGGTGGCTCATGCTAGGGCTTAACAATGTCTGCTTCCCCCTCCCTCCCTCCCTTCCTTCCTTACCTCTTTCAAACCCACACGAGTCACATCTGCATAGCTGCAGAGATGCGTGCATTAGATACGTCTAACTGTGGACCGGGCCTGCGTGACGTGGCCACGGCTGTCTCTACATGTGATGAGGCACCTACATGCTACTTCCTGAGCACTTCCTGTGTGCAGGGACTTGTTACACACATTAGAGCCTGGGCACGGTGCCTGGAGTGTACTTGGCCCTCTGTGTCTGTGGGTTCCCCCGCTCCAGGGATTCGACAGCCTCAGGTTGGAAGTATCTGGGAAAAGACTGCACCTGTACTGAACATGTACGGATTTTTTTTCTTGTCATTATTCCCTGAACAACAGAGTCTAACAGTTATTTTGACAGCATTGACATTTGTTGGGGATTATGTCATCTAGAGATGATTTAAAATAGATGGGAGGAGGGACAAATATGACAGCATTTGACATCAGGGCTCGAGCTGCATGGAGTTTGGTATCCACGGAGGGTCCCTGCACCAATCTCACTGCAGATACCAAGGGTTGACCGTGTAGTAAGTGCTCATTAAACATCCCCGAAGGTCCAGCCTGGTGAGTCCAGCTCAGGCTCTAGCGTCACGTGGCCTTGGCCTGGGCTGCTTCTGCTGCCACCTCTCGGCAGCCATGTGACCCCAGGCAAAATCTGTAGACAAACTTCTAGTTCTTCTCTCAAGAGACTTACCACAAGAGCTGGTTACTGGTGAGGGGAAAAACTGAGAGGGGCCGGATATGGGGGAGCAGTGACACATGTTAGCCACCAGCTGTCCCCAGCACGCTCCATCCCCACAGTGACCATGAAGCCGGGTCAAGCTGTTCTCATGCATCAAGTTCAGAAATGGCATCTCCCAGAGGTGGCATCCTTTTTCCCAGTCTTGAGGCTAATGAGGGCAGGCATGAGACAGGAGTCCAGCTAAGTCTGACCTAAAAGAAAAGTCTCACTGGGTGCAGTGGCGCACACCTGTAATCCCAGCGGCTGGGGAGGCTGGGGCAGGAGGATTGCAAGTTCGAGGCCAGCCTCAGCAACTTTGCGAGGCTCTGTCTCAAAATAAAATATAAAAAGGGCTACGGATGTGGTTCAGTGGTTAAAAAAAAAAGGGAGAAGAAGAAGAAGAAAGAAAACTTAAAAAAAAGAAAAATGCAGGCTATAACCCCCAGTTCCTTCTTCATGTCTTCCGTGTCCTTCAAAGCCCCCCAAGGCCCCTCCTCCTCCCCCAGAAGGCCTCCTGGATTGGCCGTGGGCGCTGTCCCTCCTGGCCTGTGCATTTGTCTTATCATGAAGCCTCAGACGTGGAGTGGACCTCCCCAGACCTCTCCAATGCAAACGCTTTCCAGATCTTTCTGAAGCACCCGAGGCTCCATAGTGTCCCTGGTACTCAGGGAGGAAAGTCTAACCCTGGAGACCTCAGGCACGAGGCCCTGCCCTGCGTGTCCCTGGATCCTCTCCCTGAATTGCTGTCACGCCCAGGTTACTGTTTTGAGGATCTGGGTGACTTTCTCTGGGCCTCGTCTGCCCACTGATCCAATGGGGGAAATGATAGAGATCTAAGTGTCGGTGACACAGGAGGTCGTCACCCGGGGTGTGACATGTAGCAGCCCTCAGGCAAGGCGGCGGTGGCCGTGAGCGTGGGGCTTGGCCACTGTGCCCACGCTGGGTGTTGGTGTCACTTCCTGCTGCGGGGAACCTGTGTCCACTGCAGCCCTGGGAAGCCCGCGGCTCCTCCGCAGCCTGACTCTAGGCCACGTTCTCTCCCGGTCCCCTCCCCGGTGTCCAGCCTGTGTGACAGACTTCAAGAGCCGCTGGCTGCTGCTCGGTGCCGTGTCCCCTGCATAGTCCCTGGAGTGGGGGAAAAGGAGGGGTCCAAGAACTTTCCGTGGTCCACGGGGTTGGGGAAAACCAGGCGCAGGGCCCCTCCCACAGGAGCCTCCCGCCCTTTGGCCTGGTGCTGACAAGGATGGGGACCCTCCAAGAGGCACAGAGTTCAGCATTTAAAAGGGGTTTGTGTTCTGGAAAAGTCCTTTAAACGAGCTGCCGAGGTCCCCGCCTATGAGTCCCCACAGGACGGAGCAGCCGGGCTGGGCCCAGGGTGCTGGGCCTTGTCATTGGTGTTCTGTGACCTGTCCTGCCTGTGTCCCCCTCTGCCCCAGGCTACGCCGACCACATGGGGCTTGCTCAGTTCCGCCGGCGGTTCCAGGCGCTGGACCCTGCGCTGCTGAAGAAGCTCCTGTCGACCTCGGAGGGGATGGACGAGAGGAAGGTGGGTCCAGCTGCGGGGCCCGGGGGGCCTTGGCTGGGGTCGGAGGCGCCCCTGTTCCCCGGGACTGCCCTGGGCGCACTTGGAGCAGGTGGGAACCGAGAGTGGCCTCGGGGGCCGTGTGGTGGGTGGCCTGGGGTTTGGCTCAAACTCCTGTCCCAACGGTGTCACTGGAGCCTGTCCCCACCCTGGGACGTCCCTCCTGAGACCTTGCGTTAGGAAGTGTGGGAGAACTGGCGTGTTGGGCTGTCCAGCTGAATGGGTCCCGGTGACATGAAAAGCCATCATTTCCAAGGGGCACCCCCACCCTGCACCCCAAGATGGCCCACAAAAAGAGGCTTTCAGGTCCAGAAGGCTCAGGAAGTGTTTTGCACCATCTCCCTGCGGCCCACCTCCAGGGTCCATCTTCCTGCCCCCGCTTCCTCGTCTGTAACGCAGGAATGACAATGACAATGACACCTGCCTGGCAGGCTGTGGTGCAGGTGACGAGCTCCACACAGGGCCTGACCTGTAGTAAGGGGTCAGCATAAATCACTGCCATCTACACCAGCAGCTTCTTCCAGGGCCAGGGTGAGGGCCACCAAGCCACACACTCCATTCAAAGCCACGTGGAATTGTCACCTCCCTGCGAGTGTGCCCACGTGGGTCTGAGAGAGCCCGGTCATCCTCGAACAGGAGCTGTAAGGCCAGAGGGCCCCAGGGCCACTGCTGGTAGAGGTCTTGGCTCGCGTCTGCAGTGGGGACAGGTGGCCTCCAGCAGGCAGGACGGCGCCCTCTGCTGGGGGCTTGGGTGTGGTTCAGGGTCCCGCTCACTGGGAGAGGCCTCAGCAGACTCAGCCTTTGGGGACAGGACTGTCCCCTCTCATTTTGGAAGCCAGGAAATGCCAGTTGGCTTAGTGCCACCAGCCACCCACTATCAGTGATCTCTTGGGGCTCTTTGTCCTTGGTCCTGCCCCTCAAAACTTTGTCACCAGGCAGAGGGTCCCGAAGGGGGCCAATGAAAGGTCCTGGTCTCGGGGCCGTGGAAAACGGGGCAGGGGCGGGCGCGGGGAGTGTCCGTGGGCCGTGGTGCAGCATATGGGAGCGTTTCTATTCTAGGCGACTCGGCAGGTTCCAGTCACGGCCAAGCCGGAGCCACCTCCGTAGTCACCAGAGTCCTCAGAGAGTGGAAAGTTCCAGGCGGAATGAGCACGGCTGGGGGTTCACTTTATATATATATATATATATTTGCTCCCAGATTTCATTTCTGCAGCAGAGAATTTGGGTAGCAAAAAAGGAGACACCATCAACCTATGAAAAGGGGGATAAGCACTCATTTGTCGGGTGATGTGACCCGCCGTCCCTTGTGCCCAAACAAGCTCGGTCGGTGGGCAAACCAGCAGCCCCCGGTGCAGAGCAGCTGACCTCGGGTGGACACGTCTGGCCACAAGAAGAGGAGCTTCCCGTCAGGGTGGACAAGGGGGACGTCCCCCTGGGCCTGGCATGGGGCATCTTCTCCTGTCACCACCGTTTCCCAGAGGGTTTTGTTGTGTGGGCGCCCACTGGGGATTCTGTGTTCCCGAGGAGTGGCCCGAGCCTCTTACCCCAAATGCACATGCTCCATCGCCAAGTGTCACGCAGGAATGACGATGACAATGATGCCTACCTGGCAGGCTGTGGTAGAGGGGATGAGCTCCACACAGGGCCTGGCCGCAGTAAGGGGTCAGCATAAATCACTGCCATCAACACCACGGCCTCTTTCAGGGCCAGGGTGGGGGCCACCAAGCTTCATCACCAAGTGTCACACAGTGCGGAAGGGCACAGTCCCCCACATGAGCCAGTCCTTGGAAGAGTAAACCTCTCCACTCAGGGAATGGTCCCATGTCACAGCAGAGACAGCTGAGGCTGGGGCAGCCAGCAGGGTGGTGAGTGAGCTGGGATGTGAACGTTGGCTCTCAGAGTCCTGTCACCAGGGACCAGCTGTTAATCACCACTGTGGTCAAAACCACACAGCGCAAACTGACCAGAATGTAGAGTGGTGGAGCTGTGAGTGTTCCAGCTGGTGGGTGACCGTCACCACCGTCCATCTCCAGAACAACTTCATCCTGTGACTGAAGCCCTGAACCTGTGGAACTTTCCACTCCTTCCTCTCCCAGCCCCTGGTGCCTGCCATCTTACTTTCCATCTCTGTGGATGGACTACTCCAGGTACCTCGTGGAATTGTACAATAAGGACCCTTTGTGACTGCTTTATTTTACTTAGTTTAATGTCCTCAAGGCTCATCCCTGAAGGATGGATCAGGTCTTCCTTCCTTTTTTAGGGCTGAATAATATCTCACCATGTGTGTACACCACGTTTAACCGCCCATTTGTCTGTCAATAGCCACACGGGTCGTTTCCTTGGGTTAGCGATTGTGAATAATGAGGCTGTGAACTTGGATGTGACAAAGACCTCTTTTAGATCCTACTTGCAGTTTTTTCAGGTATGTCCCCAGAAGCAGGATTTCTGCATCAGATGCTAATTCTATTTTTAAGTGTTCGAGGAAATTCCGGTTTCCCACAGTGGCTGTACCATTTTGCATTCCCACCGATGCCACACAAGGATCCCATTTTCTCTTCATCTTTGCCTCTGTCTCTCTCCCCCTTCTTTCTTTCGTTTTTCATATTAGTCATCCTAATAGACATGAAGCAGCATCTCATTGTGTTTTGATGCACATTTCCCTAGTGATAAAAGATGCCAAGCAACATGTCCTGCCCTTTGAGGGCAGGCAGAGGTTTGGACACAGTTCTGGGTGGCACGGGCTGACCATCAACATCGATGTAAAGTAGTTACTGTGGATTTCATCCAACTTTAACCAAGTTCCTGCTTTTCGCCCAGCCCCGTGCTAGAGATCCAGGGATGATCAGAACACAGCTCTGAGGAGAAGCTCTTTTCATATGGAGGGCGGGCTTGGGACAGCCCCAGCGATCCACTGAAAAAGCTTTTGATGCTTCCAGTGGAGATGAGAGGAGTCCTGGGGACGGTGCCGCAGGACAGCTGAAGCTTCCATTGAGCCTTGTGGGGGTGATTCGGAGGAATCGAGTCAGAGAAAGACTTGGGGACATACCCAGCTCAGGTGTCACAAGTGCAAAGACAGAGTCATGGAGGGTATGGATGGTTAGTGCAGCTGGGGCATGAAGGTTGCCAGGTGCCCAGGGAGGGGCCAAGGAGGCCATTGGTAGCAGATCCTTCTCCCTGGGAGAGTGTGAGCTTTGATTGACAGCTCGCTGAAGCCGTTATCCTTACTACTTGGGCTTGCTTAAGCAATGTTAAAATGGAAGTGAAGTCCACTTTGCCCATCCCATGGTCCTCTCCAGGGAGCAGGGTCTGCGTGCTGACCTCTAGCTGTTCAGGAAACCATTGGCTCTTTTTTGGGGGGGGCAGTACTGGGGATTAAACTCAGGACCTCGACCACTGAGCCACATCCCAGCCCTATGTTGTATTTTATTTAGAGACAGGGTCTCACTGAGTTGCTTAGCATCTCACTTTTGCTGAGGCTGGCCTCGAACTCATGATCCTCCCGCCTCAGCCTCCTGAGCTGCTGGGATGACAGGCGAGCGCCACCCTGCCTGGCACTCTTGACTCAACCCTTGACTCTTCTAGACACCCAGACCCTCCCTCTCCTCTCCCCCTGGCTCCCACTCCTCCCTCCCAGGTGGTCCAGCTTGTACCTTCACCAACACTGACCCCCACTCCCATGGTGCCGTCTCACACGTGCCAGTTAAGGACCTCTTTCAGCTCCCCTGGGCCACGCCCCAGATTCTGTCTCTTCCCTCTCTGCTGCCAAAGCAGGAATTGAAATCTCTGATCGATGCAAGCAAACCCTGGGGCTCCCTTTCCCTGCAGGGTGTCTGTAGCGTTGATTGATTTTTAGCCAACAAATTCTCTCTCTCTGGGCACTTGATCTGAGAAATATAGGTGAGGACTTTCAATTCATCTTCTCAAAGGCGCCCACATTCCCTTTCTCAAACCCTGGTGGCTGCTCCCAGTGTCCTCTGAGTTCATCTCAAGAGCCCCTGTGCCAGGCAGAGTCCTCCATGAGTCCCAGGCTGGGGAGGGAGCTGTCCGCCCTCAGGTGCTGAATGGCGACTTGGCGCCTGCACAGACTTGGGAGGGGTCATTGGGCAGCCGTTTCTGCCTCTGCTTGCGGTGCCCTCTGGTTTGAGTCTTCAGTGCTAAAGATTTTAGATGTTTCTAGTCAATGGGGACTAAATTAACTGTGTGTGTGTATGTGTGTGTGTGTGTGTGTGTGTGTCTTCTGCTTCTTCTATTTATAGTCCAAACATGAAATATTCCCCACCCTTAGGGAATGATTCTGCCATGTGTGGGAGGTTCATTAGTTACAATATGGTTTAGGTGAGAGGCACTTGGGTTCAAATTGTGTCTTTTTCTCTATCTCTTTCCATGAATGCATGCCATGGACACTTGGTATTTATTATGCCTGAACATAGGCCAATGGAATTGCCACAGCAAAGTGGCCAGCACATAGTAGGTGCTCAATGGAAGGCCACCATTGGGCTATGGCATGGATTTCATGGAGGCAGGCAATGAATGGAGCAGCCCATTCTGTGGACTTGGATCCACCAAATCCCGAGCTCACAGAGAAGGCCGGTTTGGGAGGCCATGTCAGGAGGCTGGGTTGAGAGGTGGATTGGGAGGCAGGGTCTGGGCCACATTTCTCATTTTTCCTGGCAAATCTCATTGTGTACCTGGAATATACAGCCAGATATGTCAGCCCATGTACTTGGTGAGTGCGTACCTCCTGAACAGCAGAGAGAAAGCTCTTTGCAAAATTCTAGGATGCGGTCCTGCTAATTTTCCTACCAATTCCTGAGTGTCAAGTATTCAAGCCTCCAGTTATTAATTAATCAATTAATTGCTTTTGTATCAGATATTGAATCCAGGGACTCTTAACCATGGAGCCACATCCCCAGCCCCCTTTTTAAAATAATTCTTTTAGAGACAGGGTCTTGCTGAGATTTTTA